AAAATCATTTTTATATGGATTTTTATTTGTGTCAGTTAAAAACATGCAGTAGACAAATTTCTTATTTTCTATCATTTAAAAATGTTTATTTAGCTCTATTTAAATCAAAACACTTTCTTTCAACTAAAGAGTAATTATTTCTACTGGTTACTTGCCGCAAAAGATTACTCTTGTGTTTGACTACCTATGACATTTTTCGAAAGCAGCATAACTATTATGTGAAATTTATTCCATGGTGTTTCCAAAGTAAACCTCTGTTTAGATTATAGAATTTTTGAGTAGTGGAAATGTTCACTGTTTAATTATTGTTTAACTGGGCAGTGTAAATAATCCTTATGAATAGAGTATGTTTCTCTGTTTTGGTGCTAGCATCATCTCTTGTGATGCATTATTTTGTTTCTGTTGTTTTTTTGACATACATGTCTGAATGCCCATATTTTACTGCAAAATGTACCACTGCACAGCAACTGTGTTTGGGTAATAAATACTCTCATAAACTGCGTCATCCCAAATTTCCATGTGAATTAAATGGAAATCTGATCTAAATATTCCACATCTATTACAAATTGTAATCCCTTCACTTGCCTTTGGGCAAGATTTAAAATGTTTCTTGAGGTTTGTTGTGTTCCCCGGAGAGGCAGGAGGTCATAATGAGTTTAACCCCGTTCTTTGTGTCTTACTGCAGGAGACCAAAGCAACGTTAGCTGGGCTCTGCTCAAATGTGTGACCAACTCAGCAGACACACAGATGAAAATATTGTCCAAAATATCAATGCTACATCATTTTTTCCTTTCATAATATCCAGCTATTGTCCCTTATTTATTGTTTCCCCAGGCCTTGAACCCTGCGGCTTCTAGCCGAATTGCTACAAGCAGGGCCCAGGTAGAGTGTCTGCTCTTGTTGTAAGGTTTAGGGAATTTACCCACACAACTTTGTAACACATTGAACCTAAATATAGGTCTAAATAGGTCTGTAAAGCTTTGATGTATTGTTTTGGGAGTTTTTTATTCTCATTGCTTCTCAGTGTTAATACTCGCTTTAATGGTGCAAGATTGATACAATTTCTTGAGCTTCCCTTGGCGAGTGCCTGGCGTTCTGCAGTTTGCTTTACACGCTGCTTTTCTTTCTCCATACTTTCTAGTTTGCAATGTGCTAGTAAAAATCCTTTAACAATTTTTAACCTGTCTCTTAACAGGTTCTGTGAGTGGCTGCCACCGGGTTTGTCCTTCACCACGCAAACTTACCTACTTGCACGGGCAGGCAAGCAACCAACAAAGAGGACGCTTCTTCTCTCAGGGACAAGGAAAAGCTGCTTATAGTATCGTTTGGCCAGCTACAGTTTCTCCAGCTCACCCAGTTCCTAAGGTACCGCAGTTTCTATTATCTGATCTGTTTTCCAGTCAATATAGAGGTTGACTGCAGGAGTGATCCCTGTCCGACAGCTGGGAGTTCGGCTCGCAGTCCTGTGGTGGGTTTGGTATTTGAACCTTGCTTGGTTTGGTGTTTGAACTAGGAGCGCTGGCGAGAGAAGTTTGCAGCTCCCTACCGTGTTAAACAGAGTGATGTCTCCAGTTATGGGGGAGTTTAAACCTGGAGCTTGTTAAGTTACAGAACTATAAATGTGGAATATTATCATCATCTGTCAGCACTTCACATTTTGGGTCCAGATTCTCCTTTCGAACAAGTGTAGGCAGCTCTAGCAGAAGTTAACAGGAGTCGTTCATGATCATCTGAGTCCTTTTCTATATACACCTTTAGCAAGTTAATTCTAAAATGTTTATACCTTGCCAAAAGTTTTGTTAATTAGTTATGTGAGATTTAGGTTGAGAACGTATAATACCTGCTGGCAGCTACCCTGAACCCTTACCACACATCCTAAACCAACCTTTACTGGCCCCAAGTTACCTTTTTTTTCCTGGTAATATATATTTTTATTTACTTTTGAGCCAAATAAGTCCTTTTCCAGGTAATTTTAACAAGTGTTCCACCTCTGTTTTCCATTTTTTGCTTTAATTACAGCATACAGCTTAACTGTTTAGTATCTTTCCTTTAGCCAAAAAAAAAAAATACATTTTTTAAATAGTACTTTTCAGGATATATATTAGTACTTTTTTTTTCTTTTCATTGTATTATAGATTTCTTACACAAAATATAGAGTATTTTCATAGGCTAGAAATACTAAAAAGTTATTATATAGGAAAGCAGAGAAGGATGCTGGATATAGGGCTCTTCCACCTAAGAAACTGGAAGCACTATGCACAGGGCAAACATAAGATGAAGTCCTCTACACGTTTTGTATGAAATTGAGGTACTGAAATGACATGAATTTTTTTCAAGATTTTAGTGTGAAATTGTACACAGAGACATTTGTATGTCCGCTGCTTTGCACTTCTGCCTTAGCAGCTCTTAAAGTCAGCAAGGTCAGACCTCAGCAGTTGCTAGATAAGTACCCTCCAAGGAAAAGTGAGGGGGCTGCAGTTTATGGAGTTGGTAACCCAGTAAATGTGATTTTTTTTTCTTCTAAACTAAGTCCCAAAGTATTGCAACAGGATGCTGTTTGGGTTGATGTACCACTATTTTGAATGAAATGTAAATCTGAAATTCTGGTGATGTGAGTTCACCAAAGATCCAGTTACACTTTTTTATGAGAGCCGAAGTGATGAAATAGCAGTCGGAGTAACAATAGTCTTCCTATTTAGCGTCCCTCCAGAGTTAATTGGTTACACCACTGCTCTTCACTCCTACACTGCGCTGTTGTATGGGCTTGTTGTGTCCAGCCTAAGTGGCCACTTTGTTCTGCCCGGCCAGCTCGGTTCTGTCGCTTGTGAAGTCGGTGGCAAAAGTCTCCCAGTGGTCGATGGGGCTACTGGGATGGCTGGAGCGACTGCTGGTAAAACAGCCCAGAATCCTTTGAAAGTGCATTTCTGTCTTTGTGCAAGATGTTGCTGTTATTATTAGTTTGCTGTTATACAGTTGTCATGAAATTATTGTGGATTTAACAAAAAGAATCAGAGATGGATGAAGGCTGAGAACTTTTTGTGGGGAAAAAAAAAAGTTTGTTCCACTTTCCTTGACACAGTAAATTGAGAAACTCTTGCATGATATTGTAAATGGGCAGATATAGTTGTAGTATATGAACTAGGTGAGTAAGAAAAAATCCTAAGTTAAAATAAGTTAAATCCTAAGGTTCTTGGTCAAAAAAGAATCTCATAGAAATTAATAGGAGTTTTGTCTGATCAAGAAACTTTTTCAACAGTTTTATTTTTGAGCCTAATTCTATACGTTTGTCCATTCAGTTAAAGTGTTTAGACGACGTTTGTATAAATTTGCCACTCTTTGTGGAAGAAAATGAGGAATTTTTAAGTTTTGCTCTGAGAATTTTAAAACTTAAAACTATTTGTGCTGAAAGTCTGCTGCAGTATCTGGGGTTTCAGTCCTGGAAGGTTAACAGACTCTGTAAGTCAGTAGTAACAGGCAATGTTAAGTTCAAAAGGGCAGTGGAAGAAATACTGAGGCAGCCTTGAGGGTTTGCCCTGATGGCTTAGGAAGGTCGATAGCAGGACAGAAAGGGCAAGCTGCCATGAAGCAGGAGGCAGTATCTGAGAAAATGATCCCATTGTCATGCTCAGTTTTCTGATCTTCATTTTCAATCCTTTTTCTCCAAGCACATAAAGAAGCCAGACTATGTGACGACAGGCATTGTACCAGACTGGGGAGACGACATAGAAATTAAGAATGAAGATCAGATTCAAGGGCTTCGTCAAGCTTGTCAATTGGCCCGTCGTATCCTACTTCTGGCTGGAAAGGGCTTAAAGGTAACAATTACATAAGTCCCATAGCAGCTTGGATGTCTTTTAGGCTTTCAGTAGTTTGTTGAGGGAGGGGGGGATCTTACTAGTTTTTAAATTTCCTTTAATGTGCATCCAACTTTCTTTTAAGTCAAATATGAAAACAGAGGGATTTAATAACTTTTGATTCGGTCCATAACATGCTTATTTAATTATTTCTGTATTTTAGACGTATGTAATACTTAAATGCAGTCACTCGCTGGTTCAGGTATGATTTCTCTCTGTCTGTAGACTCAGACTCTCTCTCTGTTTGGATGCTCCCACATCCCCTGAGTTTCTCATAAGGCCCGTGATACATGTTTTCATGGCAGGTCTTCCTCATGCTTTCTGCTTTTCTGCTCTGTGTGTCGGTAAATCCAAAGGGCTGGGCTGCTTCCTCCCTACCCGTCCATCCTCCTGCTCCTCTCGGGGTCTCATGTGGTCTAGTGCACCACAAGGCTGAGAATCGCTGTTGAAAAAAAACGCTGCCAAATTCCATGCAATTTTGCAGAGTGCATTGATAATAAAGCCTTGTGGTTTCCAGTAGTGCTTCTACAGTATGCTTTTTGGGGTACCTCCCAAGTGAAGAGGTACTAGGAGGAGCGTACTATGCATTTTTGCAGATGAAGGAGTGCTTTTCTAGCCTTGCCTCGATATTTCATGTAATAGCATACTGAATAGGGTAAAATGCGTTGAATCGCTATGAGATGCAGAGGTAGATAGGAACTGTAGGTTGGTGCCATTGACTTAAAAGGGGAAAAAATTATCGGCTTGCTGTGCCTTATTCCTTCAGTTACCATCTCCTAGAGGTTCAATTCTGGAATTGGAGTGGCTGATGGCAAAACTGCCTGAGGCTTTAGTGGTACAAATGCTCATGAATGTGTAGCTTTTTCACATGTAATTAATTCCCAGTACAGTAAAACCTACTTACTCGTGTAAAGCTAAGGACGCATACGTGTAGGGTCGGGGACATTGAAGGAGCAGGGCCTTAACCCAGAGTGCATGTGGATCATGAATGAGAGCAGTTTTTCCCTACCGCTCTTTGTCGTCATCATGCGTGCGTGTGCCGTGCAGGATAGAGCACGGTGTTCGCAGCGTGCGCTGAATAAAGCTGCGGAGGTGCTACGTGCAAGTAACTAGCGCTTTAGAGAAGGAGCTTGCATTGCGTAGGAAGTACACGAGCAGGAACACGAGACTGCCGGAAGGGGAGGGAGCCAGCACTTGCGGTTGCCTTGTTGAGTCCACTGCCCACTGCCCATTTGCAGAAGCATGGTGAGCTCCCTTTTACACTCGTGAATATTTGGCCAACGTGGCTCTGGAAGGCTGTTCCAAAGCCTTCTCTCATCAGCAAGGAGCATCTTCTAATTTCCAACCTAAAACTGCACATGGCCGGTTTATACCCATTTGTTCTTGTGCCAGCTCTGCTCTTTAATTTATAAACAGCTTCCTGCCTTTCCTTGAATCTGTCCCCTCCACACCGTAACAGAGCTATTATAGCCTTCACTGTGCCAGGCTAAGCAGACCAAGCTCTTTCAGTCTATTCTCCTTGGGTCAACTCTGCATCCTCATTTTATCCGAAGAGCCCCATCCCTCCACCAGTCCCTGTTGTCCGCCTGAACCGGGCGTGTATGCAGTACTGCAAAGGAGCGCATGCCTACGCTTTACATAATGGCAATAATAACCGCCAGTATAACAATGATGGTACTTTAATGCATGGATGCAGAGGGACAGTGTTTGGGGAGCGTGTGTTTCTGATACTACCGTTTTGCTGCCTGTTGGACTTGAAAATACGGTATGGTATTATATATGATAGCATTTCCTAGGTTTGGGGAGGAGAAGGGTTGGCAATAAAACAGCACATTGCACAACATATGGAAATACTTTGTTAGACACCAACAGATTGCCCCATCCCAGATGAGGGGCAGGTGCGCAGTAGGTGCTCCCCCAACATTGTCCAGCCAGCAAAAGCTCCATTAGAAGTAAAACAGATACCACTAAAAGCAGAACTTTCCATAGCATGCAAGACTGCCATAGAGATGGTTCAGGTCTATCTGCTGAGCATCCAAACCTGTGCTTCCCCAGCCCGACGGCTGCCGTGACGTGTACGTGTGCGAAGTATGAATTGCAAAGGCTCAAAACTCATTCAAATCAAAACCAATTTGCATAGGAACCCTCAAAGGCACTTCTTCTCAATGAGGGAGGTTTCTCTACCAAATTTCAAAATTCAGCTCTCGCCATTGCAGAGACAGAGTCGATCCAAAAGAAAAGCTAGAAGAAGGTTATTTTAAGCATGTGCATTTTCCACTCCACTGATAATCAAAACATGGCTGAATGATTTATGAGAGGTTTTTCTTTGCATAAAATCAGGAGAAAAAGACAAATCTAGAAAAAGGCAAGCATAAAAATTAACATTTCTAAAAATTATAGATAAGAGCATGTAGATTCACTGTGACGGTCCAGGCTATGACAATTTTAAGTAAAATATCTTCAAGATAGGAACCCAAATATTTAAACCCTTTATAAAATACTTTTAAAAATCCTTGGAGAACAATTTCATAAAATGCACAAGTACATCGTGCTGTGTGTACTGGGCAGTTATAAGAATTAAGATCCTTTCTTTTACAAATAAAAAAGAAAAGTAATGTTGTGTTTTAAAAGACTGGAAGCATTAAAAACAGATATTTCTATAGCAGCTAGTGAAACAAGATGCCGTAGAAAATTGGTGTCTTTGAGAAAGCAAATGTGGAAAAAAGAAGGGGAAGGAAGTAGACAGTATTTTAGGTTTTCTAGGAACCTTTGAGTGCTCCTTTTTACAGCATGCTTCATTTAAACCTTTTTCTCTTTAAACAAATAGTCCAATGTATCGATAAAGTGTATCAGACAGTGTTTTGTATCAGAGCTATATATTTGAAACATGCAAGATTTCGTTGAAATACTTGGCTGCAATCACACTCAGTAAATATGAGAAACTATTGTGGCTTTTTTAACAGAATTTTATGTTTGATATTTTAGGTTGGCATGACAACTGAAGAAATAGATTCCATTGTTCATCATGAGATAATCAGACAGAATGCCTATCCTTCCCCCCTGGGCTACGGAGGTTTTCCAAAATCTGTCTGTACTTCTGTAAACAACGTGGTATGTCATGGTATTCCTGACAGGTATTTGCCTAATAATATACATTTTACTGCCAGAAACTAAAATGTTAAGCTGAAATTAATAAATTGCTATTTAATATTGAGCGTATTTCGGCTTACCTACATGTCATAGGTAAACCTATTGCAGAGGCATGTCATCTTACAATACAGTGCTAATAGATGTTATACGAATGTATGTAAATTAGAAAGACAAAAATATTACCCTGTTCATCCAGATACTTTAAAAACATAGCATAATGCCTTCAGAGTTTAGTGTCTGAAAAAAAAGCAGCACAGAGAATGATTCTGATTTTTTTTCCCCAGCAAAATAAGTATGGGCTAAGGAATAAATATATTTGAATTTATGTGGTTTTTTTATTATTTGCAATACATTCAGCTATTCAGAAAGTAAAACATGAACCCTAGTGAGAGAAAAAGAATAAATATAATGGTAGATTTTCAGGTGTTGGTATGTTTTTCTGCAAGTTGTTTCTCATTATGTTATATTCAGCTACACTTGTTCTCTAAGTAGTGAGAGCTGAACATTAAAAATGGTTATTCTGTTTGCCTCTGCCTTCTTCCATCACAAAACACCTACCCCCTGATTTTTTATGTATGTGTCATTAGGTGTTTATTCTTATATTCCCTTTGTTGGGAACTGTCTGTCACCAATTCTTTTTTTCTGTTTATGTTTCAGTCGACCTCTTCAGGATGGAGATATTATCAACATTGATGTCACGGTGAGTAATTCATATAAAAAATAGTCTTTGATCAACTTTAGAATCACTAGTAGCAACAGGAAGAATAGTAGATTGGAAATGTGGAGCGCGCAGATGGATGTGCTGTTTACTTCTAAGCCAAGGCACAAGCAGCTGGTTTCCTTTTTTGTTTCTAACTATGTGTTTGTTCCAGCTAGACCCAGGCCTGACTTGAATTTAGGACTGGAATCAGATGCACTGAGATCAATGTTGGCCTAAGTGAAATGTCAACCCAATCCTGCTATGTGTCATGTTTTTGAGAAGGTGTAATTGTTATTGATCCACTGTGTAGTTAATGCAGAGCACCACGGTACTGGGCAGCAGCTGAAGATAGATATGTATGAGATGAGCTAACATGAAGAAAGCCAGCATTTTTCCTTCACTCTGCCACTGTCATTATCTTACTCTGTCATTAGAGGCTACATTGGCCTGTGTGTGTCAGTCTATTTGGACAGCAACTCTTTTGCTAGCAGTGTTCCCTACATTTATTAAAATCCCTGAAGGTAGTGTTGTGTTCCATTTCTGCTATAAAAGCCTTGAACCCTTTACGCAGAAACAGAAATAGTGTGATATAACAGTGACTTAATATTTCCACAGAATGGTCAATTATAGTTATTGCAATAAAGCCTGGCTGGATTTTCTTCAGGACAAGAAAATATGGAAACTGGAAGACTAATTCTAATTACATTCAGAAAACAAAAATTAATCATGCCTTGCAGCGGCTTTTTCCTTTTACAGTAAGCGTGTTTATTTTCCCAAAGCGCTAGCCATTTATTTCTAACACGAACAGAGATATCTCTTGAATTCTACCGTTAGTTTGCAATAATAGGTGACATGCAGGAGAGTAGCGTTTCGTAAGAGCAAGCTTTTTTAATCATTAAAGAACCTCTTGATAACTGGATGCTGTTTTCCATGGACCAAATTTCATGCTGACAGCAGTGAAGAAATCTCCAATGGACCTTACCTCTGGCCATGGGAGTCGAGCTTTTTTAGATACTTTTTTGCATTAAAATCAGGGTCGGTGACCTTTTCCCCATGGTACATTCGTGTGTGATCCGGCACTGTTGTTTTAACTTGTCTTACTAAATTCTTCCCCATCTCCATACCTTTTAATTGTACAAATCTCTCCTATCAGGTTTCCACAGTGTGATCCAGCATTTTTTAAGTATGTTTTGGGCAAATTTTTTACTTTGGTGCCCTGGTATATGCATATCTTATCCACTGTGCTTTACAAATAATATCTGCATAGCTCTTAGTGGTCTTTTTGAAAATACATTCTGAGTTGTTTTCTGGTTAACCTCATAAGATAAAATAAATCTTGAATGTCCCTGAACTTGAAGATCCCTGTGAGAGTAGGAATTGCTGATTACCTTTGGTAAGAGTTTTTAGCATCGAAAGGTAAACTGAGTTGTGTTTTGTAATTGTTCCATTCCAAAATATCTGCGGAAAAAATATTTCTTTTCAGTGTTGCTAATTGATCTCGTAGTTTATTTTTAATTAGAAAAACTGGGACATTTCACAGACGGATAGAATGAAAATCGAAGGAAATATTTGGCGACAAATTGTTTATAGTTTTGTACAGATTCTATAAAATGATTGAATAATAGTCTAGTTATAAAGTGTAAACACTTCATAGTACAAATTATTTGAAGAAAAAATCTATTTTTGCACAATTAAGTGGGTAGAACTTCATAGATGAGATAGATATTTTATTGACTTGAATCATGTAACCTTTAAAATGTATTTAAGCATAGAAACAAAAGCATTATGCATCACTGAATCTGCAGCATAGTACAGTTTTCAGCCAGGCATTACCAGGTAACATTTCATACAAGTTGAATTTTTCATTGACTTTTAAAGAATTAGTGTGTTATAGTTGCTGTGACAGTAATAAACTATAGCTATAGTTGTAGTTTATTTTTATAGTTGTAGTTTAAACTATAATTATAGTTTGTTAATGTCAAAAATATGTGATTGTAGTAGGTAAGCTGCAGTAAATCTAATTATTTTTTAGTTCTTCTACATTTTAAATCTGTATTCATTTTTCCAGGATGATTATGTCTTTGTTTTTTTTTTTTTTTTTTCAGGATGTTTTTTGTTTTTTTTTTTTTTTTTTTTTTTGTTTTTTTCAGTTTTGCATTTGTTAGATCTAAAAATGAACTAGTTCAGTTCATATATGAACTAGCTGGAGTAAAACCTGCCCAACAGGCGTTAAATTATGACAAGTTTTAGTAAAGCTCCTAGCTGGCAGAGCAAGGTGTAGAACGGGGGGAGCGCGACCGCTCGCTGCCTGAGCCAGCGACAACTAAGTTGGGCCTTTATTGACATCCAGCTTTCATTAAAACACTGCTCACTTGTAACCACCTGCATTTTCTTTAAATCTCTATCTGGGCACAGACCTGCTGTTGGAATAAACTGCCTGCAGCCAATTTTTTTAGTTTGGAATTGAGCAAAAAGATGTGAGTGTTTCTTTCCCAAAGCTCACAAGTGGCGAAAGTTCAGTGCTTCCAGCTTCGTGAGTTACTAGTCGTAGGGGGATAGTTGCCCACTATTTGGGAAAACAATTGCAGAAGAGCAAAGCTG